AAAACGATATTACCAGCTATACACTTTTGGAAAATAATATTACCAGCTATATGTTTTTGGAAAAATAATATTACCAGCTATACTTTTTTGAAAAATAATATTGCCAGCTACATGTATAATAATAAAAAAAAAAAAAAAAAAAAAAAAAATATTACCAGCTATACGTTTTTTTTAACAAAACCTTATTCAATGGAACTGTAACTTGAGTCAAAACACTGTGAAAGTGTGAAAATGGGTTTTAATACCAGAAACTCTTTGTAAAAAATTACCATCAATACATTTTTGAAAATCAAATGTTGCCAGCAATGAGTTTTTGAAAGGAAAAACCTAAACAAACCTTAAAACACAAAGTAATCCAATGAACCAAACAGGAAAACAATGATCACAAATACACATAAAATACTTCAATGGAACTGCAGAGGAATAAAAAAAAAATTATTACCAGAAATAAATTTTTGAAAGAAAAAATATTACTGGCAATATGTTTTTGAAAAGATATGCCAGCTATACGTTTTTGAAAATACTATAACCAGCTATATATTTCTGAGGAACGAGATATTGATAGAAATGGACTTCTAACAAAACAAAAATATTATTGTGAAAAAAAAAAAAAACAAAAAAAAAACATTGTCAGCATTGAGGTTGATATGCCGTAAAACAAAACAAACAAACATACTAGCAATGCATTTTTTCATAGCAGGCCACCTGGCTGATTGGACCATACTTTTTCCATCCACACTTTAACTCCCACTTCATCCACCCAGCCTTTGTGCTGTGCAATAATATGAATTCCATCTGGCAATTTTTCCTTGGGCAATGTTTTCCTTTTGAAAATCAATAATGGTGGTAGTTTGGTGCCATCAGCACAACAAGCTAAAACTGCAGTGTAGTGAGTCTTTTCATGACCGGTGGTTTTAATAGTCACTGTTTTGGTACCTTTCACATCTATGCTTTTATTAGAAGGCATGTCAAATGTTAACGGAAGTCATCTATAGTCCCAATATAGTTAAGTTCGAACAAGTTTTCTTTCTAGCATTAATAATAAATTGATGGAAAGTCAGTATTTTCTGTTCATAGTCACCTGGCATTTTTTGAGATATTTTAGTTCTTCATCAATCAAAAACATCAAGACATAGTGCCTTTTGAAGTCTTTTACTCCCATGTTCGTTGCGAGTTTTCTTGCTTCCAAGATTATTATTTTCAAACTAATTGCAACCCCCAAGTTTCTGTGTTTCATTATCCATGTACACAAGTCTCTCTCTAACTGTGGCCATTTTGCTGGTACTTGACATAAATTGTGCTTTGTCTTGTTTCCAACTTCACTCAATCCTTCTTGTTTCCTCCACTGCCTCCATCATTTTTTGGTAGGGGGTGGCCAAAGTGTCTTTCTGCTGCTCTATTACCACATTCTTTAGCATATTGTACAACTTGTAGCTTGTATGTGATAGTACAAGTAAATTGTTTTGATTAACTCGCCATAGACAAAATAAAGCTAGTGATACATGTAATCCTGGTGGTAACTGATATTTTCATGACATAAGAGTGTGAGCAAACCTACACCATCAAAATCTAAAGCAGAAAGGCTCACGCTGCTGCTAGTAAACAGAGCATATTTAACCTTTACCACGCTAATTTCTTTCTAGAATTGTTCCCCCTGCCACTGCTTTTTTTTTTTTTTTTGAGGGTACAAAAACATGAACACCTACTGTTTTAAAATTGTTATAACTTTCTTTATCGTGCGTATAAATTTTCATTTTTATACACTAATAAGAGAATGAATGCATAATATTTTGATGTAATGCATTACGTTTTGCATGCATGTTTTGACATTGTAAACAAAAAAAATTGAAACGCAAAATAAAAAAAAACAAATACATACATAATTCAACATACCTTACACTTATTACTCCTTTTGGAGTTCTGGGAGTGCAATAAGTAACAAAATCACTAAGATCAAAAAAGTGATGCATTTCCTTGCTTTTACATACGAGAAGACACTAGCATTTGTTTGCTCTTTCTTTAACCTGACTTATATTTATTTGTCTCGTTGACATGTTCTTTGACGAATATTTTGTCATTTATAAATAGACAAAATAATTCACCTTCAAAAAGTCTATCAGGTCTATGATGGTCACCAATAACTTCCATAAAATTAGTCAGGTATAGCTGATAGTAGCTGCTAGTGGTCATCATTGCTTTCCTCCCTGTCACTAGCATGGTTATCATCTTCTACCACTTCACTGTCAATATCCACTTGAGTAAAGCCTTCAAAATCATCATCGGAATCCTAATCAAAGAAAAACTCCTGAATAAAGGCCATTTTTGTTTACAAATATTGAGAAAAAATTAATGTGGGTTTAATTGGTGTCTAGAAGAATTCAAAATGGCATTGGAAAACGGAAGTTTAACCTTCTTCCAAAGCAGTAGTAGACGATTTCCAGCTTAAAATACTGAAAATAACAGTTGACAAGTGTTTATTTATAGCAACCATCTCAAGGTGACAGAATGCACCTAGAGTAGCAAAGGGAAAGAATTCTACGGTGATAATTTTCACCCTGCAGTGTGTTAAAGGTCAAACTTGTGGCTCGGCTCCAGGAAAGTTTAGAGTCTTGGAAATACTTGTAACAGGTAAATACTGAGGTTACATCATATATAAAGGTTGAATTAGATAGATAACTAACATTATAGTGTAATGACTCAACATATAAATCTACATTCTTATCAGTCAAGCCAATTAGGTAACCATCCAAGCTTACTTGAGCCTGGGTGTTGCCTTACATTCGTCTTGGAAGACGCACATGTATTTTTCAGGAAAAAAAAGTGTTTTGTAAACTGGAAAATATGGTAACTACTTCAAAGAATGTAACAGAAACTCCTGATGACTATGCACTATCTGACAAAACAAAATTCATAGTCCCATGCTTCACATAGAACAAATGAAGCCTTTTCATTCACCTCACATAATCTGGACTGCAAACTTTTGTACTTGCCTGGCAAAATGTTTTGGTTAAAAATCAACTTGAATAATTTGCTCAGTGAATGGTAGAAAGCATGTTATTGCCATAATGAAAAATAAAGCACTGTAACCATTTTAAAAGCATCCTTGCTAAAAAATGAAAAATAACTTAGTCCTACTTTGTACTTTAAGCATTGGTGTTTTGTGTAGGAATTAACATTAAGAATTAAAAAGGATCACAATTGAAGTTTAACAAATAAATAAATATGAAAAAGAGGGAAGGGGCAGAGAGAAGAAAGAGATATAAAGAAAGAGAAATAGGGATGAAAGAGAAGTAGAAGTGTTTAAGAGTCTAGAATGAAAACAATTGAAGCTTAACAAATAAGAATATGAAAAAGAGAGAATGAAAATGGTAGGGAGAAGAAAGAAGAGAAAAGAAAGAGATATAAAGGGATGAAAGAGAAGTAGAAGTGTTAAGAGTCAAGAATGAAAACAAGTGAACTTTAACAAAAAATAACAAAGAACATGAAACAAAGTTACAAGGTGTTGATTATACCTTGAATTTTATAATTTTTTTGGAGTAAAACAATGTTAGACTTTTTGAGAGATCTTATAAAAACCAGTTTGCTTCTTCTCCAAAATACTCCCCTCACCTCTTGATAATATTAAAAAATAAAAAATATATACCAAAAAAATTAATTGAACATTATATAAAGTTAGTGTTACAAATAACAATTTGTGATTAGAGGATGTCAAACCAGAAATTGAAGAAAATACTGTTTTTGCTTTTTCATTTTTTCTATCAGCAAGAGATTCTATTCACTCTGATGGATGGCCATGCAACAAAAAATGAATCTCAGATTTTTAAAATATTCCGAAAATAAACTAATTAATGGATAAATTTTATTTGAAGAAATCTGGTTCATTTAAAGTTTAATCAACTGATATCTAAAGAGAAAATGTTTTTTTTCCTTAAAGTAGAAAAATAGACTTATTCAGGTGGGTCGACTTCACAGCTATACAAGTAAAAGATAATGGTGTGCTATTTTGAAGAAGTGAAAAAATGAGTTTTCTTTTGCAAAATATATTACAATGGACAAACTGTTAAGAGTTTTTTTTTATGTGTTATGGGAGAAATTTCTTACTTGCAATGAAGGTGTTATGTTCCTTAATGAATGACTATTTGCAATGAGTAAATTGCAAGAAAAGAAAGAATTTCTTATGAGGAAGCTATGTGTCATGGAGTGTATTGTTTATTTTGTGATGCATCTGACAATTGAAATTTTCTGTCATCTCTAGTCATTGTTTTAGAACTCCCCCCAGAGAGTTTTTTTTTATTGTTCTTTAGGCATTGTGAGCAATTCTATTTTTAGTGCTGATGAAAAAACAACTTCTAGAGTTTGTTGAAATTGGATGTATATGACAATGGAATAATAAATTTTTTACATTTTATTTTAACACCACATTTAGATAAAAACTATTTAGAAACATATATTCAGAGTTTTTAACAAAAAATATGTTAAGATACATGATGTATATTATTATAATTGATGATTTACTTATTTTTTTTCTACCTACGTTAAATTGTCAATGCTGAAAAAAGTGGCTGAGGAACACTGCTGAAATCCTTGTCAGGGGGTTCAGGAGTAGTTAGTGCCAATCCTGTCTTCTGGTTGAAAGCTTAATGTTGTATTAAGAAATTCCACTTTTAAAATGTGTTGGGAAAATTTGATTCCTTTAAAAAATTCCTTATTTAGTATTTAAATTCATGTACAGTAATTGTGTAGAGATTTACTGGTGCATATCCATGCATAGATGTATGTAACATAAGTCATTAAATTTTATTGCATTATTTATTGATGAAAATTTATTGGCTCTGTTGTGTATAGATATTTGAAATAACCAAATACTTCTCTCAACTACTAAGTACTTCCACAGTCACTGTAAAATGATATTATTCATATGACCATAGTTAATCAGTTAAATCCTATCAGTAATTTTTATGCTTTCTTATGAGCATATTTTTTTTATAATTTTCTTTCAGGGAAGCACAATGATGAAGAGTTTACATATAGACTATTTGAAACTTAAGCACATCATCCGTTCTGCAGATGACAGACGTGGTGACAAAATGAAATATCTTTTAAATAAGGTAATCTATTAATTTATGTTTTAGATATTATTTTGGAGATATGAAAATTGTCTCTTATTCTTTAAGAATAAATATTCTTATTTTTATTTATTTTCTGAAAAGAAAGGTCTTCATTTTTATTTAAATTTGTGCCCACATACATGCATGTTTAAAGTGTCAATCTAAATTGAGGAACTGTCATATTTGCAACTTCATTTAGCAGATGAAAATGTAAAATTATGTGATAATCCAAAACTTAATGATCTTGAAGATTAAGGGCATGCAATTGAAGTGGGATTGTCTGTACTTTGTATGCAAACTTTCAGCCAAGAAATTTAAAAAATAAAACTTAAGACGAAAAATACTCCAGCACATTAACCTGGGAAAGTTTTAATTAACAGATGTAAATGAATCCTAATAATTTCCTAATCTCTCTGCATACTTATATTGGCAGATCCCAGTTGTGCCTCTTTTTAAAGATAATACATCTATTTTTTTAAAAATTCCTTTTATAAATAAATTTGAATAGGTTATTGTAACATGATTTATACAGGACTTTGAGGCCCATGATTCTTCTTACTTCAGCTGGTCGATGCAATGTTTACCCGAGATGAATTAGTTGCTGCCAGTGGACTAGGTATCCGTACTCATAAAGACAAACATCATACGCCACTTGACAGAAAGAAATTAGCAGCAATTAAAGGTAAAAGAAATAATAATTCATATAATCTTTTGATTCAAAAATAATAACAAATTTTGTTGATGAAAATAATAAAATGCAAATATTTTCTAACTTGATTTGATGGCTTATATAAACATTTATCATATTGATATTACACAGATATGTTTTATATATGTGCTAATATTTATTTTCTATAATTCTCTGCTCAGAAATTCTCTTCCAACTCCACTCTCAACCCTTTAGGAATATCTTTGTCAACTATTCTCTGGTTTAATCTTAATAGGAGAACAGAGGCTAAGATTTTACCAGCCGAAGAAATGAGAGCAATCCTACTATAATTCCTGGGCACCTTTACCCTTATATATATTTATCATTGTTGCATCCCTCCAATCTTTTGGCACTTCTCCATCTCTCTAAATCTTTACTATAGGATCATGCAGAACTTGACTTAAATGTGTTAACAGAATATTTCAGCAGGAAGGCCGTCAACCCCAACATCTCTGCCCATGTTGAGTCCCTACATGCCATGCAGAACCTTGCTCAGCGATGGTTGCCACTATGGGTCTTTGGATATCTTAAGAACTTCAGGGTCCACATTTGAAGGCCTATTCAAAAAGTTTCTTCCATCTCTTGGCCATGCTGTGAGAAGATTATTGCTGTCCTCTGTCCCGAGAGGAGCAATCTTTGTGGATCTGGGGCCAAATACTTGTTTCATCGAGCTTCTGCTTTTGCAGCTTTAAACTCCTTGTACAGTTTACTGTGTTATTCTTTGGACAGGCCTTTTTGCAACATTGAAACACAGTCTTGATATTTGGCTGGCATTTTATCCAGAACCTTCTCAGCCTGTTCATATATATTCTTCTTCAAAGAGTCCCATGAAGATGTATCATTGATTTCAGTACGTTGTCGTTTTACTGATTTCTGTTTTTCCAGGGAATGCAGTTTTGTGACATTCAGACATGCAGGAGGCTTTCCATTGGTTTGTCTAGTTGCTGGTTTAAGAACAAAATTCATTTTGATCCTCACTAAGGCATGATCAGTCCAACAATCTGCAGATTGTTGGACTGATCAAGCATAGATCTAACAATATGGACATATTGCATATCTCTCTTGCGAACGATGACATAACCAATGAGATGCCATTTGCCATTGATGTGAACAGGGATGCATCCACATAGTAACACGATCACCCATGTGCTAGAATTGAGTGCTGGAGATAAAAAAAAGATTAAACTCTGTGTACAGTTCAAGAAGCATTAAACTACTGATGTTGATTTTCCCAATGCCTTATTTCTCCAAACTACTCCAGGTCTCCCAATCTGTATCAACTTGGGCGTTGAAATCACCAAGGAGGACAATCTTGTCATCTTTTGGAATCATGTTGAGTATACTTCTCAGATTCATAGAATTGAGTCTTTAAAATGTCGGTACTGTCCATTGTTGGAGTATAGGCACTAAAGATTGTAGCATATCACAATCCATTCAGATGTAGGTGAAGTGTCATTAAACGCTAACTCCTATAGGAAGTTCAGCAAGTTTTGGTACAAGTGTACTACTTACAGCAAAACCCACACCAGCTACTCTATCCTCATCAGCGCACTTTCTCTTCCAGATGAAAGTATAACCACCTCTAACTTTTTCAAGTTGACCATCACCAGTTTCTGAGAGAGCAGCTACATCTATTGAATCTCTCTAGCTCCCTAGACACCAGAGCTGTTCTGCGTTGAGGAGCAAATCCCACAGGATTATCTATGAGAGTCCATACGTTCCAACAAGATAGTTTCATCATTAGTTTTTTTAACTTTTGTTCGAGCGCCAAATAGACATCTGCCAGCTGCACTATACTGGCCAGTGCAATTTTTGTGTCACTTTTTCTAGACCATTCCAGCAATCTTCTGGTGAGCAGCGCTCTCCTTAAAAGGGCTGCTCAGACACCCTTGGAAGCAATAAAAACCACCCCTGTCACAATGAAGGTGACCTAGTGACTTTACATCTACCCAGAGACCACCAAGTGTGCAGGTCAGCAGCTACACACTTCTAGCCCGTCAGACCTGTACATGTCGCTGCATCACCATCGGACTTGGATTGGAAAAAAATAAGGAAACTATAAGCTAGCAAGTTGTCAGTAATGCCCATGCAGGTTTTAAGGTTGGATGCAGCTTGCACAGCACTGCATCAACCCTCACCACATATTATCCAGAGACAAGCAGTTGCAAGATATCTAGTGTGGCCATAGGGCAAGTTTTCTATCAGATTCCTTCTCTTAGAAGACTGCCAGAAGGCTTGGGAGGTACCACCCTCAGTGGGCTAACCGTGCATCTGGATACCAGCCAAAATATTTCTGTGGCTTTGTGCAGAGATAGCTAGATGGCTGTTGACCTCTCAAGGAGGTTAATTCTTTTTGACTGGTCTTTTATTTGTCCTGCAGGGATTCTAGCCTTCCTCCTCACCATACATATATATATATATATATATATATATATATATATATATATATATATATATATATATATCCGCTTGTACAGATCTTCTGCCTAGTAATGAAGTGCAAACACTACCCATGTGATTTAGCCCGCCTGCTGAAGTGGTTTACAGGTTGCAGTGTGTGGAGAGTTAGGGGATGGATGAAGACCAGTGTTGCCCATCCACCTAAAAAATAAAGGTGCAGCAGCCGAGCAACGAAGGAACTACTTCTACCCACTGCCCCTACACACATTTTATATATATATATATATATTACATTGGATGTCAGAGTAAACAGATTTTCATCAATGTGCCAATATATCTATCTATAAAAGGCATGATGTGTGTGTGTGTGTGTAATGAATGCATGGCCGCAATTTTCGATGGATTTGCACCAAAATTTAGATGCACATGCTCCAAGTTAGCAGGAAGGCAAGACTGACCTTGCATTTCCCAACTCCCATCAATAGTGGAAATGATCGATTTTTTCGTGCTTCTATGGCAGTTTTCATGTAGTTTGCGGACATTTTCTACTGGCCAGAGTGAGAGCCTATAGCTGGCTGCCATAAATAGGCAGGAAGATTCTATTGGCCAGCGTGAGAGCCAACAGCTGACTGACATGAATGTTAACTAGTATGCTAGCATGCAAAAAAAATTGATACCTGCATTCATCACAAGTGGGAAAAATTTAAATCTGCATGGCACTTTACTCCAATTGGCGCTTGCTTAAACTCAACGTTGATTCTGATTCCGCAGAACTGGGTTGGATGTGAAAAAGTATTTGTTGTTAACATTCTTTTTTCATTCAGTTTTTCCAGTTAACGAGTCCTTTTTTAAAGCTGATCGTTTTGTGTTCATTTTGTTTAGTTCTTTTTTCATAACAGATTTAATGTTTAGTATAGAGCTTAGAAAAAATTCGCAGTGTGAGATAGGCAAGAAGTAAGGCATGTAGCAACATCAGCACAGCAAAGGGCACTCCTTTAAAGGCAAGGAAGGGTAAAAATATTTTAAGTCACGTGATAGCGATTGCTGTATGAGTCGTAGGATTTTTTAATCAAGCACGGGCAATGCTGCTAGTTACTATATATACTTAAGTATAAAATTATTATAAAGTATAAGAGAAAATTTTATTATTATTATAATTATTATTGTTTAAAATTATTTGAAAGAAAAATAACAAAACAAGTTTTCAAGTAGTAAAAATGAAACAAAATAACATAACTGGGAATGCTTTACAACAAAATTGAAAGTATGCTACTTTAATAAATAATGTATTGTAAATTAATAAGAAAATGTAAAGGAATAAAATTATACCAAATGTTATTAAAAGAATCTTTGAATATAAATAATAATAAATAAAGAAATCGGCAATAATAAGCCAATAGTCAAAGTAAAGATAAACAAAATAAACCTTACAACTCTACTACTTTCATCCAATTTTGAAAATTACGACCACTTTTGTAAAGAAAAAACAAAAAGAAAGAAAAAACAGTAATGTTATGCTTAAATATAAATAGACAAGAATTATTCAAACCACTATATAATTACTTTAATAAATACAATGCATTAAATGATCTACAACTCTAGTAAGATATTCTTAATAAATTACACTTACATGACACTTATTTAAAAATAAGAAAGATCGCTGAATACCACAACTTAAAGATAAACAAATAAGTAAAAAAGATTATAAAATGTGAATATTAAATACTGTATGAATGCATAATAACATAACAAATAATATAATAAACAAAGAAAAATATAAAAATAATGGATTAATTTAAAACACTTTCCTTTAAAACAAGACACTGCTTTCTTTGAGCAATGAAAGAACATGTCGGTTTACTCAGATATCAGCATTCAATATGCAATTACGCATGTACATACATACATAGACACACATTTTTATATATGCATACTGTATATGCCCTGTACGTATTAACTTACTCACACACTCAATAGAAAAAAATTCACTGTTAATAACTCATTCTTGAATTGCCTCCCTTATAAATCAAATTTCCTTGTGGGAAACCACAATCCTAAGTACAAGTGTCCTTTCTGTTTCCATTTTCTTTAAAACTTCCTTGTTACATAGTATTTTCAGCATCCTTCTGTAGAACCACATCTCTATTGCCTTAAGTCTTGTCATTTCTGAGGAAATTGTCCAGCATTCATGGCTTATGGCCATATCATGTTGAAACACCAGTTTCTGCATGATCACTGAAGTTAAGCAACATCAAGCCTGGTCAGTACTTAGATGGGTAACCACTTGGGAATACCAGGTGCTGCAAGCTTGGATGTGTGGGTAGTGTAGTGCATAATGGCTCATAAATGTTAATGGGAAAGCTAAGTGGATTTGTTATATTCACTTATGCACAAATACCCTTGGGAAAGGTATGAAGCCACCTCCTCCCCCAGCTATGGGTTAATTAGTAAGATTTGTATCACTAAGCCATTATTATCTCCAAAAATAAAATAAAATTGTGCTCAAAATATTTAGATTTCAGTATTAAATAACCCATAGAGATTGACAAAAACAACATTCATAGGAGGATTTGATACTGCATAGCTGTTCAGTACTGTATTCTTTATTTCTAACAGAATTTTCTTGTTTCTTAATACTTTGTTTAGCTTTTGGAAGGTAGCTTTAACTATTTCAAAGGGCCTTCAGATTTCCTGTATTACATTTTCTGTTGTCTATTATAATGCTTCCAAGATAAATTACAAAATTTAATGCATTTTTCTGTTTTATAGATTTCCTAGAAGAATTTGCAGATAAAAATGGAATTCAAACAATGGATCCAAGGACATTTCGAGTGACTGTTGGAAATAAAATTACAAATGCCAGAAGAAATCTTAGGAATGAATTTAAGTGATCAGATGTCTGAAACAATAAGCTAGCCATAGACTTTTAACTTGAGACTCTTATCAATAAAAATATTTCATCATTATTGTTGGATACTGTTTGCCTAATGAAAATTTGATACTGCCAACAAAATATTGGGTGATAGAGAATATAATTTTGGTGTTCACAAGTCATTTCAGTATTGAAAAAATAAAAAAAAGAATATTTAAAAATTTTGAAAAGATTTAAAATTCAAAATATAAAAGAATTCTGTCAATATAGAAAAAGTACCAGTGAAGATTTCAGAATTTTCTATTTAAGGCATGGCTGAAGGAAATAAAATTTACTATAAAACTAAATACAATTACCATTTGTAAAATATTCCATTCATGTTGCTTTTTGTATTTGATAAAATATATGTAAAAGATTTTTAACTCATCATAAAAAAAATCCTTTTTTAAATTTTCTAATAGTTTTTGACAGAAATTTATATTTGTAAGAAAAATTCTAACAAATCCAAATAAAAAATGTAAACTCAACATAAAAAAAAAAGATATATGGAATTAAGTTTAAAAGTATTCTGTATACCAATAAGTGATTATTTATTCAAATTACTTATATCTTTATACTACATATTTTACATGTGAAATATATAATATAAAAAAAAAAAGAAGAAAAACTCAGGAGATGGTCCAATAACTATATATATATATATATATATATAGTAGCCCACCACAGGCCTTGGGGTCCAAAATGGCTGACCCGTGCTGCCAGTGAATCGCGGTAACTTGGGGGGAGGTTGAAAACCTACCTGATTTTTGGGCCCTATTGTCCTATTTCACAATATATACCATAGATAATGGCTCGAAAAGAACCTCACAAACTTATACTAATTTATGCCAATGATTCCATAAAATTTTTGGCTAATTTGCTTTTTAAGCCCCATGCTAAGTATCTAATAACAATTTCCCGAACAATTATTTTTTATTCTAAATTTACATGCCTAATTTGAAAATAAAGAAATTTTTATAAAATCTACCATTTTGAATTTGTTGACAATAAAAGTTTGGACTCATTTGTGTTGTTGTTGGCTACAGCATGGCAGCCATTATTGGCTTTGTTTGCATCAATGTGTGCACAATAATCGAGACAAGTGAATGTTTATTCTGTAGCAAATATATGCAAACAACACAAGTAATAGCTGCCACAACATGAATGAGTCCAAACTCCAAAAAGGTAGATTTTATCAAAATTTCTTTATTTTCAAATTTTACACACATATAACTATTTTGGAAATTTTTATTAGATACTTAACGCGGGGCTTAATAAGCAAATTACCCGAAATTTCAATTTATTTCGGTGTTTTACAATAAATTTTAACCGTCGCCAAAAGTACTTCCTCTTGCAATTCTCGATTGTAACCCCTAATTACTACGCGCTATTTATATTTGCTTATTTATGAGATAGACTTGATATCTACTGTTGGACAATCAAACTGAACATGGTCAACCAGAGAAAAGTAATCCTATTTATACCCCATCCGCTGTATCTGATTACAGTGATTGAGTTAATTAGTCCAATATTATAGGAACGCTTTCATCACACGTGAAATAGAAATATAAAGTAATCATGTGTAATTATTACAATACAATTGGATTAGGTGTGAAATGGCCGAGGCGTTAAAATTTCGCAAAATTTGGGCTGTTTGATCATCAAAATCAAGGTAAAATATGTGAAAAAAGGCTGTAATTATTAAAACAAATTAGGACCCATCTGATGATCACTATTTGTTCTGTATATCATGAAGAGGGTCCAGAAATTGGTAAAATAGGGTGGAATTTCTAAAAAAAATGACCGATATTGTGGGCACAAGAGCAAAATCTTGGGGTCCACCACCCACCGATGGTACACTGGGTATCATGGTAAACTGGTTCACCTAATAGCGGGGGACTACAATGTTTTAAACTTACACTCCTGGAACCATTTATATTTAAGTAGGAAATTTAATGTAAAAATATGTTAATATTCCGTTATATTAACTGTGAGAGTAGGTGTATACAATACATTTGTGTGTGTGTGTATGTGCATTATTTTGCAAATAAATATTTTACTCAGTCAAATTTATTAAAAAATTACATTTCTATGATGGCTATTTGAATGACAGTTTTTGTTATAATCAGATTTTAAGTTATTTGCTATTTATTTTTTCCGATTATAACTGATTATGATATTGAAGTGAAGAGTTTCTTTAACTGGTATTAGCAAAGCTACTTGGCATTATCTGTGGAAAATAACTTCAAATATAACAATACAGGGGAAACAAAGATTATTTACACTATTTGCATATAAAGAAGTAGGTGTTACTAAAATATTCTTATGCTCATCAAGAAAATAAATGTTACAGGGCTTCTGAGGGTATAACATTAAGTGTTTCTTTCACTGTGTGATAATTTGAAAAGCTTGTTTGGCAATCTAACCTTGGAACAACTAATATAGAACTGGCTATGGGAAAAGCATAGATAAGTCACAGGAGGCCAGCAATCTTGAGATTGTCTCTGTGCTTTATATGGCAAAGTTGAGTTTCACTGAGAATTCAAATGGTGAGTTTGTTGGAATTAGGCAAAAATGTTTATTTGTATATTTCCATTAAGATAATTGCTTTGATGACATGTGGGAGAAGCTATTTGTCAAGTGAGTTCCATTATACAACTTTGGGGCTTCAGCTTTCTGAAAACATAATGGATATTCCAGCTTTTGAGTATGTAAGAAGGAATATTATGTGAAATGAAGAACTTAGATTGGATTTTGAACAGAGTCATGTGCCTAGAACTGTCAGTTAACTTGTATAGCTGAACCTTCCCAGGAATCTGTTACAACAGCTTTGAGTTTATTTCTTCAAATGTATCACTTTGGAGCAAGAATTCCTCAGTCACAGAGCAACTGGTAGTTTTTTTTATAATTTTGGGTTATTTTTTTACATTTTAAAACAACTGAAAAATTTAATTAAATTCTGAAAATTTTCAAATTTTTGTCAAAATATTTTTCAAAATTGTATAATGTGTTACAATACTAAAAGAATTTCTTAAAAGCTTTTTAAGTTCTTTCTTATGCCTCAAAAAAGCTATTTTAATCTGAAATGAATCTTTGATGATATCCAATGACTCTGGAGGCTATAGCCACTGATACTATCATCTGTTTCTGGTTAAGTTAGCGTCATATACCAATTTACCTCCAAGAACATAATTGTTTGGTTGCAATAAAGATTTGTATGTATCATAAAGGATACAAACTAATTCTTCCTCCTGTGGCCTTGGGTAAAGTTTGATCTGTCCTACCATTTGTGAGGTCAAAACATTTTTGTATTTTATAGCAAACTCAATATTTTTCTCTATTTTTCTAGTGATCTTTGAAGATCACTGGTAATCTTGATTGACCTTCAAAGTCAACGTCATAATCTCTTGCATTCTTTGTATTATTCACTTTTCTGACCACCATGAAAAGACAAAATTTATTTTTTTTACTACTCGTGATGATAATAGATAAAAAGTAAAACTGAAAAATGGGCTAACTAACCAGTTTCGAACCTCGCACAACAGAGCTAAATCAAGGTTAACATGTCATAATAAAATTATCACTAAAATGGATGGACAATATGTATTGGGGTATGGGGGATACTTAGATGGAAATTAGTTGGAGGTGGGACTTGTTAAAAATGAGTCCACACTGAAATTAGTGGCACAATTATGGCTATAAATTAGGTGCTCTGCGATGGAAGACCCAATGTATTGGTCAGAATGTCTAAAGGAGTGTACTTAAGATTGTGGATTTTCATTGGAATGTGTTGCTTTATTCTGACATCCAGCCTTTGAGTCGTTCTCCTAGTGTGTAGTGTGAGCCATAACTACATTTAAAGGAATAAATTAAAGAACTATTATGATGTGGAGGGAGAACATCCTACTGTATGGATTGAAGGACAGGCCTAGCAGAAAACGCTACACGACTGTTAGCAGCAAAGTAACAATGTCTAACTACTAAGGAAACCTGCTTAGCATATCTATCACTGATATTCCCCAGCCAAGGAAGGCTGAGATACACAGGATATCTTTGTACTATAGCAGGTTTAACTTGATTGAATTCAATTCTTAATTATTGATTGAACATTTTGCAGAGTATAGTGGTAATAAACCTGAGTTCATCATCCAACTTAATCTTAGAACAGATCATTAATGCCCTATGAGTAAGGGTTTTAATTAAATTAATTTTACATTTTATAGGACAAAGAGAGTCCCAACAAATATATAAACCAGTAAATGTTGGTTTATGATAAACAGATGTAACAAAACCTGACAAAGATCTGCTAACCAAAACACCAAGAAAGGGAAGAGAAGAATCAATTTCCTTTTCTTGTGTAAATTTTAAAGCTTGATGCATATTATTCAAGGACGAAAGCAAATGGTCTGCTTCAATCTTGTTATCAAAGAGACGAAAGGTGTCATCAATGTGGAAGTAAATGTCAGGTTTATTAGATTTTGATAATACTCTCTCTTTATAGAATCCAACAAAGATGTTTGCTAAAATGGGTCCCAAGGGGGAACCCATTGAGACACCATCAACTTGCCGATACATGACGCTGTCGAAACTAAACAGACATTGTGGCAAATTTCATCAGTTTGACGAAAACATCCTCAGGAATAACAGGAGGAGACAACTGACTACGTTATAGGGCATCAGCATATATATCAATTGTCTCCACAAGAAAAACACAGATAAATAGACAGGAAATATCATAGGAACACATAAATTTATCCATCAATGAATAATGCTGCATAAAATCAGAATTTGAACGAATCTCTAATACAAGCAGAGTTAAACTGTTCCAAAACTGGCTGTAATATGGTGGAAAGCCATTTATTCACTTTTCATAGTCATAACTGGTCAGAGCCAGTCCAAGCTAGTCATAACTGTGATACTATCAGAGAGATCCCGCTGACCGGTAAGTACCAGTGTATACCACTCGAGAGAGCAGTTTAC